TGTGCGAACAATAAGTTTTCTAACTCAAGTATAACACTACGGTACAATACCACAAGATGTGAGAACAATAAGTTTTGTAACTCAAGTATGACACTACGGTACAATACCCCAAGATGTGAGAACAACAAGTTTTCTAACTCAAGTATAACACTACTGTACAATACCCCAAGATGTGCGAACAATAAGTTTTCTAACTCAAGTATAACACTACTGCAAGTATTTCACGTTTCTTCGCTGTTCTTTTACTTCTTTTAGTATACAACAATTTTACGTATTTCAAATTGACTTTTCTGTCTTATCTCAGTCAGGGGTGTAGGAGGCAAATTATTTAAACGTGTATGTGTGTGTGTGTGTGTGTGTGTTTGTTTGTTTGTTTGGGGGAAGGGGAGCAAAGTTTATTTGACCGAGCAAAGCAAGGGAATGCGCGACACAGGCGCACGCATTACCGCCGGGGTTCGGGATTTGCCTTAGGGCCCTGGAAGTTCTTTGGTTCCTGATTAAATTTTTTGCATTCTCCTGCTTTTCCTGGTAGTAATTTTGAGACATTTCTATTAGGACATATTGAAAAGTGTGGGAGGGTGTCCCCTACTTGTTATTCCACTGCCAGTTTTATGTTTACGACTCCATGAGGTATTTTCTTGGCCTTTTCTGTCTGTTTGCTACCAAATATTTTGGACATTGCAAAACTAATGTTGGACTATCAAGGTTTACCATGAGGTAACTTGGAATACTTGAATGATTACGAACCTGTAACATTATAAGAACAAACAACAAGAAAGGTACAACAATTTGTTTTTTCTTTTACTTTTCCTTAAAATGATGCCTTGCAATAAGAAGAGAAAATGAATACTTCAGAGCGTGGCCTAATGGTTAGCGTGTCCGAAGTATAAAACCAAGGATTCTTGCTTCGCGTTACGTTTCCTCCAAAACGCGCTCGGCACTAGGCAAGTGGGTGTGCTCTAAGAATTACAGTCAAGTCCTACTATTCGGTCAGATAAGATGGGCCTAAGACTTGGCACTGGGTGTTGTTGATTAGATGCATTCCATCGAGTCCATCAGTTCAAAATGTTTGTTTTGTTTGTTGAATTTCGCAATTCAATTTTCGAATTTTCAAGTGATAGACTAGAGGGAAGCCAGCTAGTCAACACTACCCATCGCTAACTCTAGAGCTACTCTTCACTGACGAAAAGTGGGATTGTCCGTCACATTATAACGCCCTTACGGTTGAAAGGGCAAGCATGCTCAGTGACGGGATTCGAATCTGCGACCCTAACCACCAGGCCGTCAGTTTAAAATAAGGGACGGCTATTCGCAAATAGCTCTTGTTTAACTTTGCGTGAAAATCTGAAACAAACGAAATCTTTAAAAACTAAATATATGCGTCATCTACACTTTCATATTGTAATTAGAGTTTCGGTCTTTGTGTAATTACGTTGTTGCTGCTTTCTTAGCGCAAAACTACACAATGGAATATCTGCGTTCTGTCCACTACGAAGAATCGAGCCCTGGATTTTAACGTTGTTTTAACTTGCACCAGAGAAAATAATTACTGAACAGTTTAATTCTGTAGATTTTGTGAAAGCTGTAATTACAGTTTACTATTTCTGTTTATAAATTTAACTCTCGTTTCTTGGGATTTAAGGTTTATTTGATCCGTTTAACATCATTTTAATAAGAAAGGAGTAACTTTTATCCAAGAGTTATGTGTTTTTACTTAGTCAGCTCAGGAAAGTCTCTGTCATGCTCTGTTTATGATAACGTTTTAATAATCACTTGGCCTGCCATCGTAAGGCGTAATTTATTGCAAGCTGAAAGTTTCTGCAATTCTTATTTAGCCTTTTATCTGGCGCAACAAGTGTTCTTTATCTGTTTCTGCAGTTAAAATGCCGGTGAAAGTCTAATAATCTTTTTATGGTATACAGAGAATCTATTGTATAATAACTCGCCATTGATTTTGTAGGTCAACTCCCTTTGTTGATTAAAGAAAAAAGAAAAAAAGAAGTACGAACTTGTGTAAAACATTAATGTCATTATCAGCTCACATAATCTCTAAAAAAGTTGCTTATCTGTTCCAGAGTATAAGTGGCAAAAAAAAAGAAAAATCCTCACTTAGGTAAAATGCTAATAAAAAAAAAAGGTAGTTTTGGTTGAGTTTTGGAACAATTGGATTTTGAAAATAAACTTTTGTGAAGTTTACACCAGTAACAATATGGAGCTGGACGTGTGCAGGCATAAAAAAATGAAGTACAAAGAAGATCTTTTAAATTCAGAATAGAAAGATGGCCACATTTTGGCCTTTGTTTTGTATTGATGCACTGGTTACATTGTGTCTACTATTTGCATCTGTTTCGTTATGCAACCATTAACTTAATACGAACAATAATGCATTGTCATTGTTCTACTCTCAGACATCTACTACATGCAAAACTAATTCTAATTTCAGTACACTTATTAAAGAATGTGAACAGAAGACCTTAAATTAGTAATGGACCATACTCCTCCCCCCTACCCCACTGAATATTTATCTGAATTTCATCATGCACTATTCCGTTGGGCTTTTAAAAGTCGAAAGCTGCATGTCATAGTCGGCCAATTGAATATGTTACCAGAAAATTAGCTCGCTGCCTAATCAAATTAATTATTGTTAGTAACATTGATGTTCTAATTGTCTAAGCATTTCAAAAAATTACTTCTCGTAGACGCAAACCTCTAGATTTGTTGTAAGCGAATCCACATATTTGGTATTTAATTCATCGTCCATGTCTTTAATTAGAGTACAAGACTGTGGGGTAGCACACTCTCTATTGACTGTTAATTACACTTTATAAAAAAAATAGGTTCCACTGTTGACTGTGCTCAGTCTGATGTCTGTTATCAGCAGTGTTGTCCAATACTTCAATGTCTATCGTAATAAGCCTCTGCGAAGGATGGCATGGTCATTATTGGACCACACATTTTGACAAACTTTCCACAAACCCTCCTGAAAGTGGACCTGAACTCCCACGACCATGTTTAAGCAGATCGAAAGCACAAAGTTTGTTGAAGTAGAACTGGAAGACTTGATGATTATTTGGTTCAATTGTGCTGTTGTAATTCCAGCTTATTCGTGTGAATACAGTCGTTGTTTTCAAGGTGTGGCTTGGAAATTGTGAACTTTTGGGGTATGCGTCTTATTAAGCTTCGCATTCTTGTTCACTTCTTGCTAATGGTACCAGAAGACATATTCAGCTTAATTTCCATGCCTTTGTTGGATTAGAAGGATTTCTTCCGTGACTGTAACTTTCATTTAAAAGATGGAGAAGTTGTTCTGGAGTTAGGTTGTGCAAATTTTCCCACTTCCATGGAGAAAAATGGAATTTCCCTTGTTTGTAATACTATATCCTTTGGCTCTATACCATGTAGCAATATCACTCTTCGAATATCCTTTACTGAAATGGCTGTCAGTGATAAACTTGTTGTTCAATGACCGGGAATACACCATGAACTAGATATGTAGGTGCTAATCATGTCGCTTGTGGCTTCACAGTTCGTATCCACTACTGCACACTAATTACTGTATTAATCTAATTAACATATACAAATAATTCTTATAAAGTACGGTTAACTGTAATGCAGGAAACTGGATGTCGCTGAAGTCTATAGACAGACTATAGCTCCTATGCCAATCATCACAATCTTAAGGGTAAGCCATCACGTGGAACAAGGAAGTATAGTACTCACTGGTCACTTTAGACGAACGAGTCTGGATTTGGCAGTAATATTGAGAGTTTTCTGAATATGTCGTCTCATCTGCTAAAATATTGCGATTAGTTCATTGTGTGGACCTGCGTTTTGTTGTTTGTTTAGTCAGTGGACAACGCATGGAACTTTTGTGATGGTACGTTTTACAACTTTACGTGTGATGGCGTAACTTTTTAACAGTTCTGTAATAGTCGATATAACCTCATCATTAATGTACTGCTAACTATGCGAGGTTAAATTTAATATTCGTCGAGATGACATTCTTTATACTAGAAACAAGATGCTTGATGTCATCAGAATGTTTGTTGATTTAATATCAGTATTCATATTTACATATGTATTTGGAACGTGTCAACAGAACGTTGCAGATGTATTCTGATTGAAGAACTATATACGTACCAGGTACAGCCAAGGAAACGAAAAACAAACAAATTTGACGTGGGAATAGTTATTAAGTTCATGAAGCTATTTATCTAGTTTAGGTTTTGGCACAAATGAACTCATATGTGCTCGAACTGGATGTATTATTGTATTGTTTGTAATTAAACACAAAGCTACACAATGGGCTATCTGTGCTCTGCCCACCACGGGTATCGAAACCCGGATTCTAGTGTTGTAAGTCCGCAGACATACCGCTGTGCTACTGGGGGGCCGAACTGGACTAAAAAATGTGAAGTTCTGAAATAATTTGTTGAAAATTGCTTATTTGAAACTTACTCGCCACTAATTTGATATTGCCTATTATCCTATTACATTTAACTATTGTACTCTAGTCACAGTTTTATGTTTGAAAGTATTATATTCTTTTTTCTACAAGTTTTTAACAACATGCTGCATCTAAACTAAACATTCCTAGAGAATAGAGACTGGAATTAAACTTCGTATAACTGTACACTAACAAAAAATGACAACAACAAGTATTGCGCCTATGTTTTATGTAACTGAATGTAATTTTCTGTTTTTTTCCCGGTGGTATTATATACATGATATACCAAACATTAATAATTCGTTGTTTATATTGTTTGTATGTTTTGTCTCTGGTGATACAACTAATAACAATGTTTCCTAATTGTTTTACTTATTTCATTAGAAAAGTGTTGTTTGTTTTAAGTTCATTTCTTACCATTGGTGATTTTGTTTTTCCTAGACTAAAATGGCCTTTCAGATATTCAACTTAAAACACAAAAAAACGCTTATTGTACTTAAAATGATGACACCTATTTGTTTTGAGCATACTAAAAAACATTTATTTTCACCAGTGCTTTAGCGCGGAAACCTTGCTGGAAGAAATTGGTACTCCAAATAGCATTGAGGAAGGACTGGATGTAAATAGGCTGGAAGACCTTTCCGGAGTTTTAATAAAACACATGATTGAAGGTAAGGATACTTAGACTAATAACAGTCAACCCTAAAACGAGAAATTTTACGCAATATCACTGGTCCTGTTTTACCCCATTCTTAATGCTATCACTGATTCTAATCATTGTGTGATCATCAAAGTTAAGTTGTTTGTCTGAAGGAAACCCGAAATAGGAGAAATGTTTATTCATTTCTGATAATTCAAAATAATGAATAAGTTTTGTACACTCGAGCGAGTGATACAGGAAATCTGCAACCAGCTGGGCACCATGCAACTTAATATCCATTTAGCAAGTTATATTGATATAATTTCACAAAATCTTTGAATATTGCAATCTAACTTGCCTGATGAGGGCCGGTTAGGAATTCATTGCTCAAAGAATGTTCAATATTGTTATTATTATGTTTTTCTTCATATTTACTATGTTAACAGAATAGAACTTGCCAGCGAATGTGTTAATCGCCATACAAATTGAAAGTTAATGTTGTCTTATGAGGACTTTTAGTGATTATTATTGGTCTGTGATAGGTTCAAAGGTCAATGTTGGTGTCAAGGGTAGCAAGTGGTCACATTGTTGTGGTAACTGATAAGGGATGTTGTGACCAGGTGAAATAGAAATGTTATTATTAGTATTTTAATAGCTTTTAGATAACGTTATTGGTATGTAATAAATATGATTTGATGTTTTTGGTATTTGAGAGAGAAAAAAATGACCACTTTCAATTTGTTTTTAAATCACATTTGACTGAAAATATTTTTATTTTTTTACATTTTCAATTACCTCAATATGAATTTAAAACAAGAAATATGTGAAAATCGTTTTTCACATTAGTTTTTTTTTCTCTGTTACAAGTTACTGCACTTGATGTCATTTGTTAAATTCCAAATCTTGCGTGGTAGACTGTGCCTGTAGCAGCTAAACTATTTATCTCACAAACGTAGGTTCCTAAGAGATGAAACTTTCTGCTGATTACTGCCATGTCTTCTGTCTCAGAGCAGAAATCAACGAGTTGTTATCTACTGATTTATTGTTCAGTTGTAAATAACCATTGTTAGCGTGTGAGATTAGGAAACATTATTTTATTTTGTGATCGTTGCTAAGTTGGTTACACTTTGAATGCGATAGCGGACGAAGACTCTTGTAGGTCTGAGATATCATTGTTAGTGGATGCTAAATAAAACTGATAAAGTAGCCACTGGTATTTGTTAGGACAGTGACTTGTTGATGATTAAAGGTAGAACCTAATGTTAAGTGATAGCTAACGCTGATATAAGCAAATCAGCTTATATTAAGTGGAAGGCATAATGCAGAGTCACGCATGGCGAGACACAAAACCAGAAACAGTTGCAGTTTTCATGACGAAAGTGCTATTAATCACTGCATTTGACCGGCAGTATGAAATATCTGGGACATAGTAGCATAAAGTGATCGTTATTGGTGTTTCATAACAGGGTGTAACAAGAAATAAAACAACATCAACAAGAAACAAACAAGTATGAACAAACATGTATTAAGGAAACTATGATATATAATGCCTATGCTGACGAACCATTATTAGTTTCCTGGTCTAGGGTCATGTTACAATATAACTACAAATTTTCACTACGTTTCTCTGGTCAAGTACAGGTTTCCTGTAAGAAGGGTGTATAAGTGTATTTCATCAAGCCGGCTGGATTACAACATACAAAGTCTCGCTTGGAAAACTGTTTACATCAGTTGTTTATAAGCCACAAAGTTTCGTTGTGTATAACGCCTAAGCTGGCAAAACACGATCCATTGATTGTTTAGCAGGTGTTAATATTACGTTAAAATTAAACTGATAATGGTTTTAACCAGATCCATTGTCGGCAGCAGCTTGTAACATATAGAGCACCTTTCTTACTAGAAACCTGTATTTGTGTTCGAAAAAAAAGAAGTAATTATTGTTGATGTATGTATAATGGCAACAGTTAAACATTTCTGGTCTGCAGCAACAGCCATTTTACATTATTAGCACAAAGTTCAACAAATTAGTCACGTTTATTTAAATTTAAGCTGTGTGATAGTTGAACTTTCAACGTTTGTGGGTGGGCAACAACAGTAAATTCTTACTGTTGTTACGAAACATTAGAAACTAGCCACACATTATGTGTAATATCACACTGTTTGGTAGTTTCACGTTTGTTGTGCAACAGCAGTAATTTCTTATTGTTGTTACGAAATGGAAGAAACTAGCCACACGTAATGTGTAATGTCACACAGTATATATGTTTATACTGAAAGTAACAAATAATTACTCTAGTTTTGCGTTATATAAGTTACCATTGTTGATAGCAGAAATTAAATACAGATAGTACCTGAACAGGAAGAGGTCGCTGTCAGTGATGTACAAAATTTGTTATTCTGCAGATGCAAGTGATTAAAACTGATCACAGCAAATAGTCATTTTTCGCATAAGATTGATCTCTGCCTTTATAATTTATTCATGATAACAGTAAATCATTGTTATTGGTGCCAGAAGGAAATTACCACTGTTTTCATATAATAGTTTCCACTAACGTGATTTTTTTTTATAGCAGGTAATTATCATTCAGTGGTATGATTGAGGCAAACAAAAAAGTGTTCGTTTGTAATAGAAGTTACTACAGAAACAGTTTTTGTGAAGATGATGTGTTTATTTGACTTTGCAACAGATATTTATTATTTCAACGGTAGTGACAGCTAACCATTTTTGGTTTGCGATAACAATAATTAATGATCATTTATAATATGTGATACGTACCTGGCATGGCCTAATGGTTAGGGCGTTCGATTCGTAAGTTGAAGGGCACGAGTTTGAATTCTCGTCACCGAATATACTCGTCATATATGGTTGCCGTCTGGGCCGGCCACCCAGATGTAAAAATTCTTGTCTTCGAAAATTACCGGCCGACCCTGAACTAATTGGGATTAAGGTCGTTACGGAAAATAGTTCATAACATGTGATATCGGCTAATAAATAATGTTGCTGTGTAGTATCGACTAGTGATCATATTTTTACGTTTGTTGAAAGGAAATCAATCACTTTTGGCATCAACCTTTTAAACCAATTAATTAACAAAACTCTCACTAGGTGACTGTATTGATGTTGGTGAATCTGTGAATGACTTCCTTGATGATATTTTCCAACGTTATGGTGATACTAGTCTACGGTTAATACACGAGAAAGGTAAGATATTTTCATGTTCATCTTGTCTTAGCAGCTAAGTAAACCTAGAAGCTATGGCTTCTTATAACAAAAGAAAATACCGAATTTATGAAAGGGAAAGGAATTATTTGTGTCGAGTGTGTTAAAATTGAAATGTTGACTGACTAGCCAAATATGAATTATGATCCCGTGACTATCGAATATTTACCTTGTGTTGATATAGAGGGTCGAAACGTTTTATGAATACTCGGTAAATAATTAGCCTACTTTGGGTGTTTACAGTAATATAATATTAATTATAATTAATATCAACTTAATGATATATTATTCATGCTACCAAATTCTGTGTTCAATGTTTATTTGATGACTAAAGATCAAGTGTTTGCTTGTAAAACCTATGTTTTTTGTTTTTTTTCAGATAACAGGAGTATTTTTAACAGTATCATAGAAATGTGGGTTATCATGATAAAAGATGTATGATGCAGTCTTGTAAAACTACTTACTGTCTTTGGTTTAGTATTTATGAATGATGTATAAAATTTTCATTTACCATACAGTCGAAAAAGGTTTGTAAAACTGGGATGACTTTACATTTGTAGTTTACTACAATTGAAGAATTTCAAATCTCCATGAAAGTGCCAATAAGATGGTTATTGTAAAATTGTCGAACTTTCTCATACTTCTACAGTTAAGATTTGCTCTACTATAAGAGTATAAAACGTGCATGTCTCCTTTACAGGAAAACATTTTTGTTAATATTCAAAACTAATATGTATAAATTGTTTATAAATTAAAATTGATTAAATTCTCGAAGCTACATTCCGTGGTATGGGACAACGTTATACAGTATCACAGAGCCTACAGAAAACTGGAAGTTCAAGTAAGTGTAAAATCAGTAGACCCCCTTGTCGGATGTTAACCCTCATCTAAACCCAATCTAATAGTCCCTCCACTTCAGCAAGATCCTAGCTCGTAGGCTTCAGACTTCAGTAGAGCTAAGCTTTGGCAGAATATGACTACTAGACTTTAAGCTTAAGCAGAATACCATTTAGTGCATTTTAGCGTTTAAAGTCGGGGTATAGTCCACATTAGACTTAGATTAAAACTCCAACAAATACAATAGTACAGCACAGTTCTGTCTTGTGGATTCCAGGCTTCAACGTAACACAAGCTAGTACACTGTATATTGCAGTAAAATACTGGCCAATGTACTGCAGACTTGGATGCAATTGTATCAATACACTCTAGATTTCATCAGAACTGTATAAATGTATTCTAGAATACAGAACACCGTTTACTAGAAGAATCTGCGTGACGTTGAGAACTTAAGGCTTTCATAAAAAAAAAAATGTTTTAATGGTTTTGACATCGACTTATAGTTTTAAAGAATATTTATTTAAGCAGCGTTTCCAGCATTTGCTCAAGATCAAGTTTAGCAGGTTTGATAGGTAAGTTTCAACAAAAACATATTCGCGTACCGTTTGTAATATGACTGGACATTTGACAAGCTGATTACACAAGGGAGGCTGAAAAAAGTAGTTTACAACAATAATAACATTCAAAATTATTATTCGGTTAAACATTAAACATTACAAGGCATTATTATTATTTATGTAAATATGTTATGAAAAGTACATGGTTTAGGTGATAAAAAAAGTATCAAAATGCTTAATAAATTGAACAAAACAAAACTTATCTTTGAATTGTTTGCTTACAATTCGAAAGTACAATAAGTAAAAACCTAAATCAAGAGAAGATGTTCGATTACAGTTTAGTATTTTATGTCTCTTAGTGCAAATACTGACAAGTCGGATAATCAGTGCAATTTGGTGATAAAGTATATAGAAACAAAGAAGTTAAGGTTCCCACTTATCTGTTTATCTCAGGTGATCACGGAAATGATCTCGTCTGAATGATATTTCGTTGATGTTATCACATTTGAAGAAAATATGCAAGAAATAATCTGAGTAAAGAGGATAATTTCAGCCAAGTTCTTGAATCATTAAATCTTCAAGTGACTCATAAGTCAGTCTCAATGTTTATGGCATTAAGGATATGAGCAGAAGTGTCGCCAGGTACTGGCACATGGGGCTCGTGCCCCGATTCTAGTTGACAATACCGCGAATCCCCACTTGATGTTATGAAAAATCAGCATAGAAACCCGTGACCGATATCATATGAAAATCTCGTGCCTATGCGGACCCGAGTCTCGAATCTTTTAATTAAGCACCTGGCGACGCCTCTGGGCGTGAGACGCATAGGTCAGTGTCAACGTTTTCGACACTTAGGGTGAGAAACGTATAATCGAGTCTTCATTTTAGGGTGCGATGTATTCTGTTACTAATTTGGAATTAACTAATATGTCTTTGTGATTATAGTGGCTACACCATCGGCTACTACACTCATGTGTGTATGTGTGTGACTATATATATAGTGGCTACACCATCGGCTATATATATATATATATATATATATATATAC